CCACTCAGGAGGGCAGCTGGAGTTCTCTCCTTAACCCCACTGGAGAGGCCCTGTGTTTCCTGGGCAGCAGCTGCTGCTTCTTATCCGGCTTGCTTTGTCTCCTGAATATTGGTAACTAGGCAGGGTTAGAGGCTCCTCAGGAGACTTCAGGGGACATTGTTTCTAATTAGGGCTGGGTTGGATGTGCAGAGGATTCAGGAAGTGCGTTTTGGAACAGAAGCTCTTCTACACAATCTGGGTGTTAACCTTCCTTGTCCCCGTAGTCTGAGAATAAGAATGAATGGCTAGTGTTAGACAATGGCTACACACACACACACACACACACACACACACACACACGCGCGCGCGCGCGCGCGCGCGCGCGCGCGCGCGCGCCCGCACTAGGGTTAGGGTTGAGAGAGAGAGAGAGAGAATGAGGCATACATCGAAACAGGAAAAGAAATTGTGGCTTAGTAAAGCAAAAGTGGGGTAGACCGTATGCATGGTTGAATGTTGTTTTTACGGATTATTCAGACAGATGTAACCCAATTTCTAAACTCCCCTCTGTGGAAGGTTTTAAAAAAGTGGTCACAGTGAGTGATGCCTGGTTGGAATCAAGGCTCAGTTTGTTCCACTCAACAGATACTTTTAAAGCAATCACTCTGTGCTGGACAGTGCTAGGTGACATGGGGGCATAGAAGGATTACTGGATGCAATCCTGGATCTTGAGGAACCAATCCCCTTGTTGGGAGATAAAGACTGAAATGAATTTGGGGAAAATCCGTGGCTGGTGTCTGCAGAGTACAAGGGTTTTATTGCCCTCCATGTGTTTTCTGTTCTGTGGTGGTTTCCCCTGCAGAAGCTGTGTGCCGGGTCTGTGTGACTTTAGGACCATGCCCCTGGGGAGAAGCTCAAGACTGGGAACTCTGGCACATATGGGTGTTATTTGAGCTTCTCTGTTTGGGAGTGCACCCCAGCATGTGGATGTCCAGTCATGTGACTCACAGCTGCTCAGGGATACCCTAAAGGGCCTCATCCTGGAAGGACTGTCAGCTTCTCCCAGGAGAAGTCAGGCAACTTTGTATTCCTGACCTGATCTACAAAGTGGGATGCAGCCTGTCACCCTTCCTACCCAGACGGCTGTACATGAGGGCTGGAATATGGAGCCTTTGGCACCGAGGCTGAATCTTTAATACAGTGGTGGCTTATCATCAGCCACAAGAGCCAGGTAGGCAGAAAGGAGGTCAGTGCCTTCTGTGTATGACGCCTCTCCTGTCTACCTGTTCTTTTGAACCCCTCTTTGCCCTTCTTTGTCTGTCTTCTTTGGCTTCCCCATTCTCTCCATTGACTCATTCTTCACTCCTACTGCTTCTCTGATCCCACAGCTTCCATGGTGACGTGGTGTACATGTGCGTTTGTCCTATCTTATGGCTTGAATATAAAATGTCCCCTACAGCCCCATGCATTTGGATTATGATATTATTTGGGGCTGGGGAGTTAGCTCAGCAGCATAAGTGCCTGCCTGGCAAGCGCGAGGTTGTGAGTTTGATCCCCAGTACCAGAAAAAAGCAAAAAAAAAAGCAAAGAAAAAAAGGATTATGAGGTGGGGCCTGATCAGAAGAGGCAGATAGTTGAGGGTGTGACCCAGAAAGGGGTGCATCTCCTTCCCAGGCTTCTCCTTTCTCTCTCTGCTTCCTGGTGTACCCCGTGATGTGAGCAGTGTTCCTCAGCTAGATCCTCCAACATGTGTTTCTGCCTTGGAGCCAGCTGACAAAAGTCTGTAACTATGTACCAAAACAAACCCCTCCTCCTTTCTGTCATGGATATTGGATATTGTGTCCCACAATGAGAAAGTGACTAAGACATTCTACATCTAGAAGTCTGGTCTACCCTTGATTCTAAACCCAGATCCTTGACACCTCCCTGAGTGTCCTGTGGCTCACCAGCTTCACTGGCTTACACCCAGAGTACCAGCTAAAGGTGTCATCCTCACACAGTGGTCACTGTGACAGCATTTGTGTGGCTCCTCATGGGCAGCCAGTGTCCTCGTCAGGTGATAAATAACCTGTCCTCTCATTTCCTGTCCGACTGGTGTTTTCCTGGCTATTCATTTTCATCTCAACCATTATTTCAAAACATTTAAAATTACATATGTATTTGTCTAGCAACAGAACACCATCTTTATGTTGCCTAAAAGAGTTTTCTTTGTAATTTACAGAAGAAGATTTGAATAGAATGACTGCTCTAGTGATTGGTTTGCACAGTTCACATTGTCTTCAGTCGGAGTTCAGATTACTTTTTTATCTTCATGTTTCTAGATTCCCTGCCTCTGTGCACCACTGTAGTGGGCATACTGGAGCGCTTCTAATGCTCCAGCGGGGTACATGAAGGCTCTGCAGGCTGCTCCTGCTCCAGCCCTGCCTTCTGCTGGCCTGACCTCCAACCGTATTCAGAGTCCAACAAGCTCACTAAAGCCTGTATGTATAGAGCACTGGGCATTATCTGTCATTCCTTTCACTGGCTCATCGTCTGTAAGAAGACACAAGATGTGAGGGCTCTCTCTGTTTTAGAACAAAGTGGCTCTGAGAACAGTGTGGGTCTTTCTCTCCCCATAGTGTAGATAAGTCTGTCCAGTCTCAGACTCTGAGCCACATGTACAGCTAAAGGGATCTTAGGAAGACTGTTCAGCACCCAGCTCTGAATCCTGTGCTGGTTAGGTGGCTGACCTCCTGCTGGCCTTGGGTCCAACATCCTGTCCCCACCTCTGCACAGTCTTTCCACGTAGGCCCTGAGTGTTTTTTCCAAGTCAAAGGCCTTGATTGGCAGCCTAGTCTGCACTCCATCACTCCAGGCCTGGAGCCTCTGCTTGCTGGGTAGTTCCTGTGTTGAACTCCAATCTGATGACTGGTACTTGGGAGAGTTCCTTGGTGCTGACTTAGGAGTACATCACATGGATGGACATCTAGATGTTTACCTTTGCCTGTCTGTCAGTTACTCTTTTTTTAAAAATTTTATTTTAAAGATAATAAAACCCAACAAAACAAAACAAAACAAAACAAAACAGAGAAAAGCCAATCAAAACAAAGCAGTGAAAGTGGTACAGAACTTCAGAGCAGGAAATAGGAAATCAACAGTGCCTACCATAGTATATCTTATTATCATCACAGTAGTTGTGCATTCCATCAGACATACTAAAGTCAAATAAAACAAAACACAGTAAAACAAAACAAAATAAAACCAATCAAAACAAAACATTGAATGAAGCAAAACAGTAAATTGGAACAAAACAAAATAGTGAGAATAGTATTGGATTTCAAAAACAAGACAGAAGGAAATCCCCCATATTTTCTATATTGCATACTGTTACCCTTCTAATAGATGCTCAGACTGTTGGCCCCAGGCCTGAAAAGTTAATCAAACAGTACAAGCATTTAGTTGGTTTGGTACCTCAGTTGCTATCAACTCAGCTTGTGCTCCACACCAGCTGGTGCTTACGGTGTGTGTGTGTGTTCTCAGCCTATGCTCCAGTTAGCTCACAGGAGGGGCGATCTGGCTTCTCTCTTCCTGGCTGTCAGTCTGGATGTCTTCTGTCTGTCTTCATTTGTCCTTCCTTCATGTCACAACCTGCAGATATATTTGCCAGTCCATTGCCCTGGGGGGATCTTAGCTCTGCTTCAGAGAATGGCATCACTCAGCACTGTGGTCCTGAAGAGCGCACTGTCCTCTGGTTTCACACTATGTGGTTCTCATGCTAATTCTGATCCTTGTCATCTCTCACCTGATTTACTGCAGTTGCATCTTCAGGATTCTCCTCAGTCCTCATCTGACGTCTCTCAAGCAGTCCTCATATTTTTCCTGGAAAGAAAACGTGTTTAAGTAGCATCACAATCCTGCTTAAATCTTTCAGATTTGTCTTGCTTTTAGGAATAAAGACCACAATGGAAGAATGTTAGAAATAGGCCCTACAAACCTTACACTAATTCCTAGCATCCTCTTATTCTCTGACCAAGGCCCCCTTTCTTCCAGTGCACCCACTCTGTTTTCTCCCACCTGTTTGAACAAGTCACCTCCTTTCTTGCAGCTCTGTTTTCACCTGTCATCTTGCAGCCCAGGCATGCCTGTCTGTGCCTACCTCCACTGGGCTTTTTTGTTAGCATCTTTCGTTGCTCTTGCGTTCCCTGACACCTTCTTTCTAGGGCTTAGCACAGGTTTAAATTACAGTCATGCGATCTTTCATTACTGTGTTTCCCGTACTTTGCTCCAGTGATGAACCATGTCTGTTTTGCTCCCAGTTTTATGGAGCCCCATGATTAGCATGTAGTCAGTGCTTCATATATATTATTAGACAAAGTGAGTAACCTCAGTGTGATCTGTTCTGTCTCACAGAAGTTAACCAAGGTTATGTACAGGCATGTCCGAGATGGGATACTCTATCACTAATCTTTGCTCTAAATCCAAACACAGGAACCACTTTATCCAGAAAAAATCATGAAACAAATGTACAAAATGAAGAAACTGAAATTCTTGGTCTATATCTCACATTTTTTGGAAAGTATTTGGTATTCACGTTTATTGCTTGATTTTCTTGGTGTAAGCATTTTCATAGATATTGTATATTATTATACTCTTAAGTTTACTGCATTTCTTTGAACTCAGAGCCAGCAAAATTTACATTTCTTCCTGTTAATTGCTTGCTTCTTTTAATCACACATGAGTTCTATTTCACATGGGATTCCTTTTTGACCTTAACTGCTGGGATACTTGGTGCAGAATTTCATGTTTAACTGTGGTGAATACCTCTGCCCAGGTCTCCAGTTGTATTTATTTTTCGCTCTCTTTAAATTATTTTTTGTTTTTAATTGTTGTATTGTTATACATAATCACTAAAGGCAATGTAGACTTTTTTTGTTATAAAACATATATTACATTATCTATTTTTATCTGTCTGTCTGTCTATATCTATCTACCTACCTACCTATGGCAAAACCCTTATTCTTTTTTTTTTTTTTTTTGTACCATAGAAGTAATAGTCCATATTCTTCATTTGGAGCAACTCTGGTGAGGGATGATGAAAAGAATTTGTGGAGTCTACCTCACGATGTGTCCCACACAGAGGCAGATGATGACAGAATTTTGTACAATTTGATAATCGTTCGTAATCAGCAGGCCAAAGACTCAGAGGTAAGTACTTTCTGATATCTTACAGATGATACTAGACAGCAAAATATAGCAGTTACAAGAAGACCAGCTTGAAATAAAGAATGAATTGTTCAATGGATTTTTTGTTGTTGTTTTAAAAAAAATTACTTTTTTGGGGCACACTTGTGATATACACAATGATCACATTCATTGTGTAGAATTTGTACCTGTACTTGATATATCTCGAATCTTCTTTTTCCCCCATTCTGTTGTTGTTTTTTTTTGGGAGTGGATCTCCCTGTGTTGCTTAGGCTGTCAAAAATTCCTGGGGTCAAGACATCCACTTAGGCTTCTAAATATCCAGGACTTCAGATATGTACCACAGTACCTGGCTTATAATTGAGATACTAGAGCTGAAGGGCAGGGATAGCAGACATTATCACTAGTTGCTAATTATTGCTCGTGTTGATAGACCTGTTTGATACTGCAGATAAGATTCATTTCTAATTATTACCTTTCTGGTACAAATTATACGCAAGGCAGTGCTGGTGAAGAATGAGAAGATAGATGATCTTAAGTAGTCCGTCTCTAATCTTTCCAGCCCTTTAACAAGCCTCAGTTAAATGGTTCACCCTGAAATTTGAAGGGTACTTTGAATTTTTACTAATTCTGAATTAATGGGGCCTGAATTAATGTTATTTTTCCTGCTCAAACTTCTTAAATTATGCACATTGTTTGAACAGTAATAAATATGCCATAAGTGGGGTGGTTTTTGTAATAAGGTTTAAAACCACACTCAATGGCTGTAAATTCAAAGAACTTGTAAGTTAAAACAGCAACAAGGATTCTGCTTTTTTTCAAAATTAGTATTAGAAGAAAGACCAAAAAGAACCATAATTAATATTAGAGTTGGCAGTAGTGGCACACATCTGTAATCCCAGCACTCAGGATGCTGATGCAGGAGAATTACTGCAAGTTTGAAGCCAGCTTGAACTACATAGTGAGTTCAGGGACAGTCTGAACTACACAGTGAGAGCCCATCTCAAAAAACCCAAAAAAAAAAAATAGTATTAGGGTACTGTACAGAATATTATATAAAATCCTTTTCCAATTAATGCTATCTGCATGTAACTCAAGCAGCAGAGTGCCTGCCTGGCAAGAATGAGGTCCTGAGTTTGGTTCCCAGTACAAAAACAAAAAATAAAACGAACAAACAACCCAATCTGTGTTGTTAGCTCTAAGTAGATATCTGTATTAATAAACACTACCTGCTTCTTTGTGTCTTGCAGAAGTTGAGAAAAGTAGCTCTGCAGAAATGCCCTAGAGTGTGTAGTGGGGGTGGGAGCTGGAGGTGTTATTTATTCCTTATCGAGATTTCTCTATTTTTGCTAATCAACTGCTATTTTACCAAAAACGGCATTTTGTCAAAAGGCAATAACAAAAGTGCCATGTGTTTTGGTCCTGTGACTCTGGTGTGGCTTGGATACTTTTGGGGGTTCGAGGTGTAATGGGAGAAACCTGACAGTTGCCTGGCTATGGAGGCTGGGGGAAGGGAGTGTTGGAATATCCTATGGTGGCTGTTGACAACTGAGCATCCCACAGGTGGCCGAACACCACGCAGTCTCTAACTTCCCAGTTTCCCAGAAACTTCCCCTCTTTGGCTGGTAGTGTTGACAGCGGGTCACAAGGGCTGCTGCCACCACAAATAGCACTGTCTGTCCTTTCTGAACTATGAAGGGATGTGTGGCGTTGTTCCTCTTTAAAGGGGAGGAAGAGTAAATCCTTACACCACTGTATTGGGTTGACCAGTTAGGGGTTTGCTGGTAACAATGGAACCAGTGCTTCTCTTTCCTTCCTCCTCTTCTCTGATCCTGCCCAAACAGCAACAGCACAAGGGATGTATGTGTACAGGTAATTTACCCCTTACCATCACCACCACCACCACACACAGGTGGAGCAGGTTATAAAGGGTGTTTGGAGCCCCGCCTGACTGCTGACTCTGGAAGAGCGCCAGTTTCTATTTTGTTTCCCCTTGTTTTTAAAGACAAATAGAGAGGCAACGTGAGAGCTCTTGGTGAGCATAGCTTCCTAAGTGGCCGCTGTGTGTTTTCTGTGCTGGCCATGGGTCTGGGGTGAAGAGCCATCCAAGAGACTTTTTCTTCTTGCCAAAGAAGTGAAGTCAAGCTTGACTCTGGAGAGACTCTGTTAACCAAGAACTTAGACAGCCCGAGACATGACATGAAGGTGTGATAATGATTCATGAAATGATTTGAAATATTCCTGTTCATAGTGCTTCCTTTGAAAAAGCATAAAAGTGATGTGATTAATAAAAAGATGCTTATATTGTCTTCCAAAATTATGAAATTCAGGCATATATTAGTATATATGTATTCATATTCTTCATATATCTCACATATTGTTCTATACCTTTTTTTCCCCCGCTTAATACATTTTCACCTCAGTGTGCTCAGATTTACAATATTGCTTCTGGGCACTCTGGTAGTTTCTTCCATGGATTTGCCATCATTTACTGAACCAGTCTCCACTGATACTCAGTTTTTTTGCTACTAGAAGCCGTTCTGCGGGGCTGTCCATATGCTTGTGTGATTTCCATATATTTTCTTGGGAGAAAGTTGCTGGGTCACAGTATGTACATTTAAAATGTTGGAATTGTGATACTGCTTCCTTCTTGGAGGAAACTAGGAGAACACTTCATGGTGTGGAACAGTGGTTGCAATCGTAGTTTCTTGCAGGGACGAGGTATCAGTATCAGTGAATGAGGTGGGCACTTTGCTCCCCCCCAGCATAGTGAATGGTGCTAACACCTTGGCTCATACTGTTTATGGGGAGTGGTTGCTAAGCTTCAGGTAGCTGCTAGATCAGTTGAGGACGTGCATCTGCAAAGGCTGAAAATTTTGATTCTTTAAAGAGAACCTGAGAAATCCAAATTTTTCATACAAAAGGGTCAGACTTAAAAATAACTCAAATTAAATATGTAAGGAAAAATATGCTAATGGACTCCTGATACATAAGGATGGTACAGTGAATAATTCTACCACTTATTGTTATTTTATCAGCATGGCTGAAAAATGAACTTAACATTGAATTAGAAGATGAAGATAGAAAGCTGGTGGGGATGTTTATGTTTGAACAAGTTTTAAGTCTGCTACACAGGATAACATTGATACATATTTTAATAAAACAGAGGGTTTTAGCTTTGAAAGAAAATCAGATTCAACCTACTAAGGAGCAAGGAACCCTACCAAGTTTTGCATGTTACAATTTAGAAGCTTAAGCAAGGTAGACAGAACAATTTTTTTTCTTCTTGACTAGGAACAACACAAAATCATAGAACTGTCCATTCTTAGAATCCTTTGAATAATGAAAAATAATTTCAAAGCAGTCTGTGTTCTACATACATCCTCCATCGAATCTGAAGTGGGTAGAAGAAGCAATACAAATCACTAAGATTAAATTCACAGTGTTTCAAACTGAAAAACGGTGAGGAAAGAAGATATATAGAGAAACAAATAATGAAGAATAGGCATGAACTTAAAGTAAGGTGCAGTGCCAAAAAGTATAAAAGTAGCATTATTTAAACTTTATGACCTTCAAGCTGATGGAAAACAGGCTCTCAGCAGAAGAAATGATGCACTGGCAGCTCTTGAAGTAGTGGAAAATTGGCTTTTGAATTATATCATATTTTGCTTTTGAATAATGGTAAACAACTTGGAAATCATGCCTCTGATTGATTTTCCTCATGTTCTTTCTCATTAAACTGGTTGCACTTTACATAACACATTCGTTTCTAAGGAGCTTAGTAACCCCTAATGTTGATACCCCTAACGTATTTATTGTAGAATCGTGAGTATACTGAGTATTCTTTCCTCTATGGTATGAATAATAATAAAAATAATGCCAGGCGTCCCCCCCCATTTACATATATATCAGTGATGCCCTGCCTTCTTAGCATAACTCAGAGATGCTGTAGATATCATTACTATTTCCAGTTTAAGCAACTTATCCAAGCCCACACAGCTCTTAGGTTGGAAGTTGGGGTCTAAATTTGAGCTTTGTGACATAATGTATAATGAGTCTCGTGGTGGGAATTGTGAGAGAGGAATAGGTACTCTCATTAAATATAGATTTTAAAACACGTGTGAAGTCTGCTCAAAGCCTATGCCTGTGACTTGCTGAAGCCAGTGAGTATGAAGGGCATTTTCATGTGAAGGAGAGGAGAACCTTGTTTGGTTAGAGGCTGGAGTCTGTCTTCGAGAAGTGGTTCTGGGTGTACATTTCCCACATTATGCTTATCTATGGTGATTGAAGTTGGTTAAAAATCATTTACTGAGCTTCTGTTTGGTAAGATCATGGAGTCTGATTCTTTTTATTTCCATCCTTCTTCACTTTATTTAGTGTGTACTCTGACTTGTGCTATTTGGTGCCCCTTCTGTTGGTTTAGTAACAGTTCTCACAAGAGTTTGAACATTATTTTCACTCTAAAAAAGCATGTACTCGTGTTTTTTGGATATGTGTAATACTGTGGATTGAACCCAGATCACTGAACCTTCCCCCAGGCCAGCTTTGCTATTTGTAAGAAAATACAAGTTTAATATCAGGTAATTCTCATAAACATCTTTAAGCACTGTTTTGTTTAAAAAATAGGTGATGTTCATTATACATGAAAGGTGATAGAAATTCTGTGCTTATCTTTTAAAGGTTTTAAGTATCTGCTCAAAAAAGTCTGTGGTTCTCACAAGTGGTACCTGCCTTCTCATCACTGAATGATGCAATATTTACACATCAGCAGAGCCACATGATAGCCAGATGCTTGTGTTTCTAGAGTGACTGCCTGGAAACCACACTCTGTTGAATCCTGAGGGAGTGGCTGAATATGACTTTTTTTTTTTTTAATTACAAAAGCAAAAGCATAGCATGCTGCTTGCTGGTTTACAAGGTGTTTGCTCGTCTGGTGGTCCCAGAGTGTTGCCAGCCTTTGTAAAAAGGTCCAGCAGCATGTTTCCTATAGGACCAGGCCTTCC